AATGGGGATGATGACAGGGTATGAAAATTAAAAATATAATTAGTCCGTAACTTAGGTAATAAAAAAATATTAGACACGTATTTTTTTATTTTGTTGTATAATAAAACAATACTTAGATAAAACGAATCAAAGTTTAGGAGTGGGGGCTAAAACGTCATTTCTTAGTATAAAATGTACTGAGAAGTGACGTCACGCGACATTTCAAATCAATATAATAATATTATCTTCGAAACTATTCGTTTCCGTAAGAAAATAAAAAATACGTGTCTAATGTTTTTAAGCAATCTACCAGACGGACATTAAAATAAAAATTGGTCGTCTACCCTATTCAAAAAAAAATTACATAGCCTTATTTTCATCGGAACTTAAATGAAAATAACAACGTATAAAATAACTGCAGCTGTAAACAGACAAGCGCTTTAAAATGTTGGTTAATTAACAAAAGATTAACTGACGGGGAAGTAAGAGAACTGTGTACGATAACTGACAGGCAAGATGTAGACATAATTATGAAGTTAAAACGTGAATAAATAACTATTCATAATTTTATACAAGTTAGGAGTTTAAGCGTATCGTATGTTTTAATGCTTGCAGCTTGTTTTTGGTATAAAGACAATTTAATTTACCTAGTATATTATTAATCGGTTTAAAAAAATATGCTAACGGGTTACCGGGGCTCCGGCTCGAAGTGCAGGAGAAAGAACGGGGTGGTTTTTAGTCAGTAAGAGTCTGACACTCCCTCCCGCCTCATCCAGGCGGGAGCAGTCATTCGATGATTGAACCTCCATTCTTAACATGCTATTTTGAGAACTTCTCAAAATTAAAATATGTTTCTAGTTAATTAAGTTAAAATCGAAATATTTCTTTTTTTATGGCTTAAGCCGATAAATGAGCAGACGGATCACCTGATGATAAGCAATCGGCGGCGCCCATGGACACCCAGAACACCAGAGGCGTTACAAGTGCGTTACCGGCCTTGTGAGGATTAGGAGTTTGAGGATCGTTGGGGATTCAGGGATTGGGGAGATTGGGGAAGGGGAGGGCAATTGGGCCTCCGGTAACCTCACACGACGAAACACAACGCAAGCTTTGCTTTACGCATGTCTTTTTTTCTATGTTATTTCTATATTATTACATTTTTTTATTTGCCAATTGCTTGCTAACACGCGGTTGACAACTACATTTGGAAGCCTTTCAAATAATTTAACATTGAACTTTTCATAACTCATTTATTACTTTTATATATATTGCACTGCACAGTATTAAACCGCTCGTCCCCTATGGCGATTGGTTTGAAGATGTGGTGCTAGATAATATCCTCTCCTGACAGGGCTGCATTTATCATAAATGTCAGTACTAGAGTCCGAGGGCACATTTATTATAACACATTAATGTCTGAGTGTCTTCGAGGTCCGAGTGAATAGGTTGCTTATGGGAGAGGCGAGCTCTATTGTAGGCCGCATAATCGCTTCCAACCAGGCGAAATAGTAGTCAAATAATTATAAAAAAAAACATTACATGACATATATTTACATAATCATCATAATATCACGCCTTTTATCCCCGAAGGGGTAGGTAGAGGTGCACACAGAAGTAACACCCACTTTTCACTATTTATGTTAGGAGTCCCATGTACCTAATAGGGGGTGAACCTATTGCCATATACCGGGTACATTTCCAGACTCCGTGCTACTACTGAGAATTTTTAAAAACCCAGTAATACTTTGCCCGACCCGGGAAGCGAACCCTAGACCCCTTGCCCGGCAGTCGCACTTGCGACTACTCGGCCAAAACGAGGCAGTCAGACATATATTTACAATTTTTCAAAATGTTATTAAAAAAAGTATGAAGAGATAATTCTTTCACTAGTTAAATCATCATTAATGACTGCTTATGCCTATTTGAATCACCTGCCAGCTTAAGCCCCGGGTTATGCTAACTATTGACATTTGGTTTTTTTAATAAGCTAAGATTTATATAATGATAGGGACGATGACAAGGTATGAAAATTAAAAATCTAATTAGTCCGTCAGATAGGTAATGAACAAAATATTAGACACGTATTTTTTATTTAGATTTATAATAAAATTATACTTAGATATAACAAATCAAAGTTTAGGAGTGGGGGCTAAAACGTCATTTCTACGTATAAAATGTACATAGAAGTGACGTCACGCGACATTTCAAATCAATATATCGTCGAAAGTATTCGTCTCTGTAAAAAAATACGTGTGTAATGTTTTAAAATAATCTATCAGACGGACATTAAAATTAAAATGAGTCATCTCTATTCTCTTACTATTTGGCAGAATAGACTATTTTTCATTGACCCTATTATTTACACAATATACACAAATACGAACAACTTTATAACAGTCGGTGACGTTCGCTAAATATCTAGTATCAGGTGAATCAATATCTAGGGAACAATTCATTCCAGCAAGCTAGGCGTAGGATCTAGATAAACAATCCTAGCCTATTATACCTAGATAGAATAATATCTCCCAATATCTGATAATATCGAACCCAATTTAAACTGCCAAATGAAACGTTTATTCCATTGTTTATAGTTATTCATGTGTTATTACAGCAGGTTGTTTGGAAATAGATTGCCTCGTTGGCCGAGTGGTCGCAAGTGCGACTGCCGGGCAAGGGGACTCGGGTTCGATTCCTGAGTAGGGCAAAGTATTACTGGGTTTTTAAAAATCTCAGTAGTAGCACGGAGTTTGGAATTGTGCTCGGTATATGGCAATAGGCTCACCCCCTATTACATGGGACTCATAATATAAATAGTCAAAGTGGTTGTTACATTGCAAAGTGGCGTAATGTGCACCTCTGCTTATCCCTTCGGGGATAAAAGGCGTTATGTTATGTATGGAAATAGGTTCACGCTCTATTGAATGAAACTTTTGCTTTTCATGTTGTATGACGGCAAACGAACGAGGTAGGATCATCTGACGATAAGCAATCGATACCGTCCATGGGGACCCACAGCACCAGAGATGATACAATTTCGTTGCTGACTAATTCATCCTTAATTAGGCACTTTTATCCGTCAGTCTGTCAGTGCAGCTAGGTGCTCGTTCCGAATTCTAATTTGGAATGGAATTTGACATTGATGAAAGAGATTGATTGATTAAGATTGAGAGAAAGTAGGTGTTTAACACCTGTGTATATCTATCCCTGTATAAAATAATGTTATGTAATATTTTCCAGGTACCTGTTATCTATGGTGCAGTGGTTGAAGGTGTAGCCACATGCCTCTGCCGCCTCGCTTCAAGAGGTCTCGGAGACCTGAACCCACGCTTCGCCACGGCCATCGATTCCTTCATCGGAACCTCTCTCGTTGTAGCTGGTGAGAATAATACTACTGTATTTAAATTGTACATTCTGATAGCCACTGTTCACTCACACATTACACTCACTCACTCACTTTAAAAATGATTTCTTGTAGATTATTTCAAAATCTGTGAAAATTATCAATTAAAGTTTTGGTATATTTTTAAATTAACAAAAATAATCTTACGATTCTTAAGAAACATACCTAATCAATCAACATCTAACTAATTATTTACTATCTATTTTAGTTACGTAAATAAAAAAAGAGTGCAATAAAAATATAGTAAATGAATAAATAATTTTAACTCACAAAATACAACAGAAATCCAACAAACTTGTCTGTACAAACAGCTTTCCCTGTGACTTCACCTCGCTTTTCACTCAACCCACTTACATAAACTCACATAAACTCATAAATACTCACATAAACTCACATGTACTCACGCGCAGCTCAATGTTGCAGGGGTCCTCACTAGGCACACGGTATTCGTCTACCGGTATCAGGACAATAGTGCCAATGCGGACCTAAGCGTGTCCATCTTTTGCAAAATACATTTAGGAAAAGGTACATTCTTCTGTCATTAAAGCTTAGTTCACACTATGCTAGTATATTAGTCGAGTAGCGAGTAATTTAGTATCGAGCGAGTAACACCTCTTGTGTTCGAAGGAGAGACTCGCCCGTAAAAAATATAATAAAATTGAACGACTTGACTTAAATATAAATACTCAAACGCCAATCAATTTGAAGACGAATCGGATCATTTATAAACTGCAGTAGCATTTAGTAAGCATTTCAGTATTGGGGGATAGTATCTGACTTTACTACTTGTCAAATTTTTGGTACATTTAATTCTACTAAATTATTCGATACCCGACCAAAATACTAGCGTAATGCGAACTAGGCATAAGTGTCCACTAATATTTTATTATCAACGACATGCAAGCATGAATACATCAACTCACATCATTGTCAGTATAATCTGCACCAATTCATTGTCACTGTACAAATATTCACATATCATTTCATTTTCCTATGAGTCGTTGTAAGTAGTTGCTTTTTGAATTTCTTATGTTTAATGCCTGAATTAAGATTTAAAAGTCTTCGACAATACGTAGACTATAAAACATCCAAGACTGACAAGTTCAATACCAACGACGTTTGTAATAAAGCTATTGTATAGATAGAGATTTTAACAAACTTTCGTTGAAGTACTCAAAAGCCACTTAATTTTAGGTAGCGCTTAACTTAGTTCCGTCAATACAAATTCCCTGTAAAATGATAGAGATGGCACGATATTTAAGTAGGTACAACTTAAAATACGGTAGTTGACAACTAGTCAAATTCAATACTTTTATCGAAACGTCAAAAACGATACTGTTCTATGAATTTTGTACGAAATACCATCTTATGACGTCATCATATTTTCGCGTCAAATAGCACACTTACCTATATCTAAAAAAATTGCTAGAATAAATCGAAAATTAAGTATATCGGCAAATGAATGAATGAAAGTGTAACTATTTTTCAATATTTAATTGGACTTAAAAATCAAAATAATTTATTAATGACCTTCCTGGGTCAATAATACTTGAGAATCCTTTCAGTATTTGGGCGTTTGTTAATAAGCAACCAAGCAATGCAAACTTTCGTGAGACATTCTAATCAATTTTCATATTTCCGGCTTACTCTCGTAACTGTTTAACGAGAAACTCGACTAGTTTCAAGCCATGCTATAGGCTCATATTCCTTGAGCAGCACTCAGCGACTCGCGACGCGGCGACTGTTGCGCTGCTACTGAAACATTTCTGCAAATTGTAGTCTATCACAGTAGTTGTTAAAATGTCTAACGATAACATAAATGTTGTTAACGTAGTTATATTACTGAACTCGTAATAATTGATATTGTTTCTCTTTTCAGCATTCGACTATTCTGGAGGTTACTTCAACCCTGTGCTGGCGACGTCTCTGAAGGCTGGATGTGAAGGTCATACTATGATGGAGCACGCGATAGTCTACTGGATAGGAGCCTGTGCAGGTTCTCTTCTGTCAGTATACCTTTACAAGCTGCCAGCTATCCAGAAATTCGTCAGAGGAAGCAGTGAAGCGAACGGAGACAGCATTTGGGCAGAAAAAGAAGATTAAAATGATTCTTCTGTTTTGTCTCAAAATTAGGGGTGTATGCTGGAAAATTCTAGAAGATAATGTCGGCAATAAGGACTAAACCACGAATTATAATAGAAATGAAATTGATGTAACAGTCGTAATGAAAAACATGATTTGGACTCTCTTTATTTCGTATAATTCAGCCTTCATGTGTTACTAGAAAATTCTAACGAAGTTATTAGGTCCTTCTATCAACTTATACAAACCGTTATTAACCTCAAAAATGAAATAATGAGAAAACGAAATCTAATTTAGCTGTTTTTACGTTTTGCAATGCTAGCACTTCAGTTTGAAAAGGCTTTTATATAGAAATTGAGTGTAGCTAAGTAATTATATTTGAGGTTTTGCTGCAAATACAGTTTTGAAAGAGTAAAATGAAAGCAAAGGTAATGATATTTTTTAGGTATTTCTCTCGAAGATTAGAGAATTATCAGTTATATAGGCAATTATATAATTTTGTGAATTAACCAGCATACACCTATTTTAAAATTTTTACGCTTTAATAAATTACTTTTTTTGAAAAGTTCGCGTGAAAATTAATTGTCGTTTTTTATAATTTTTCTCAAAAAATGTTTGGCGAAAATTCCTTGAAGAGCGATGTCCACGATTCTAGTCATTTCTCCTTGTTTTTAAGTATTATTTTTTCTTTGTAATTTTAATTTTATCATTTGTTTCATCTCCTTTTTGTACTGGGTACTTACATGGTAGTGGCCCGCCAAGTTCGAATGTTATTTATTATAAATTACTTTTTTACAGTCGCACATCAACCTACTCGAATGTGTTAATTTTTGTCATTGGATTTTCGACTTTATATCTAAATTAGAGTAGAGAATCTAATGAAGAAATTTGACAGTAGTTTGACCTGCTGCCCACTGTACTAAAGATTGAAGTTTAAATCAAAAGGGATGAACATTTCGCACCACCTTTCGTACAAAGCTAAGAGCATTAGATTTTATATTTTTTCTACCCGAGTTGTTGAAGTATGTCTCCTAAAATATAATAAGTGCTACGTACTCCCGTTGTAAATAAATGTTTTATTTATTACAATACAGGTTATTTTATTTTAAAACTAGCTTTTTCCCGCGGCTTTGCTCGCGTCACAAAAGGATAAAAAGTAGCCTATGTGACATATACCAATACACACAGCGCCATCTATACCAATACTTTTATTTTTCCCTCGGGAATATAATTTTTTCCGGGATAAAAAGTACCCTATTTTTTAATCTGGACTTCTAACTTTACGTCTGCAAAAATCAAAGCAATTGGTTAAATAGTTACGGCGTGAAAGCAGAACAAACAAACAAACAAACTCACTTTCCGATTTATAATATTAGTAAGGATATATAGTTTTAATATGGCAGAAGGTATTGATCTATTTATTAAAACTTATTGATATTAAGGCCTAGTTGCCCTACAGTGGTAGTAAACAAATAAATTGTTATTTAAGTGATTTTATTAAGATCTATTCCATTTGTTCGATTACACACTGACAGGCACGTTCTAAAGATGAGAAACTAATTATACTTATGCGATTTTTATTTAGATATCTACTTCATTTGCTGGGGCTTTTTAATAACTTCTGAAAATATTGAAAAACATTTCTCTAAGAAACTCCAATAAATTCTGTAAAAACCTTGGAATAATTTATAGCAAGAAAACACATCTATCAGAAAATTGACTGCACGATTGACGCGGTAGGTGGGCAACTGACTGCCGCGCAGTGTCGCGGATTTCATTCCCGCACGGAACAACTCTGTGCTCTACAGATTGTTGTTCCCGGCCTGGTCATGTGTATGTGAACTTGTATGTTTGTAAACGCACCCACGACACAGGAGAAAATCCTAGTGTCGGACAACATTTTTTTTTAAAGAAGTTTTACACTATCTATAGGTACTAATATTATAAAGAGGAAAGATTTGTACCTATTTTTTGTATTTTGTATGTTTGTAATGAATAGGCCCAAAAAGTACTAGGCCGATTTAAAAAATTCTTTCATCAATAGAATGCTACATTCTTAAAATTTGACATGAGCTACATTTCATTTTGAAAAAAATTAGGGATCCTTGGTAAAATTTGAACAATTTAGGTAACCGAAGGTGTAGAAAAATGAGTCTTAAAATGTCTTTCGTCGAATGCGCTGCCGAAATTATTAGCGATAGAACAAAATAATGTACAACAATATTGAAGAACATCATAATGTCTACAAAAAACTCCGCGGTAGCATATGTCCAACTATTGTAGTTATGTCACTACAACCATCCAAATTTCCAAAAATAAATAATTGTCTACCCCGTGCTAAGCCGGGACGGGCTGCTAGTATTATATATAAGCAATCAAAATTAGATAATTTTCAGCCTACTATTATGTATGTATTATGTCGTTTGTTATGTCGCTAGGCAGTTACTAACTGCTCCGATAAATCTGTCTGGTCTAGTGAGCTTTACATACGATTAGATATTATCAATAAATGTAACCTATTGGTGTGTGTTAGTTACGATATTGAGATTCTAGTTCAATATACCTATATCATATAAATATTAGTGCTAAAGTTATTGAATCGTTTACTGGTATTTGTGTGTCTAATATACATATAAAATTTATTAATAAATTTGCATAAATGTGAATTGCCGAATCCGTAAGCACGGGCCTACGGACTGCGAGCACAGATAACTCGCCGCCCGACCAGAACCAGACCGACCGTATGGCATATCACATTTCGCGCACGCTTCAAAGAGCCATCAGACCACTACAGATGGGGTCCAGAAGGACTGATGCCAGCACAGAGCCGTGGAAGACTTAACGGGTTGCCGGGGCTCCGGCTCGAAGTGAAGGAGTAGGAACAGGGTGGTTTTTAGTCAGTAAGACTCTGACACTCACTCTAGCCTCACCCAGGGGGGAGAATTCATTGGATGATTTTCCCTTTCCAAAACAAATTTACCCTTTTTTAAGTAATTGCATAAAAACAAAAAAGAGTTTCAGCCAATACCGATAATTGAAACCTCCACATGAATTATATTGAAACCAATTACATACTTACTAAAAACAAACTTAAAAATACCACACATGTTTTTAACACCACAATGCTGCAGTCTACAATTCTCGCAACATTCCCAGACAGATTCTAAACATAATATTTGAACCTAGGCACATATATATGACTGGCAATGACTCAGTATTTAGTGATAGTCAACAGCTAAGATTTATACGACTCTCGGACGAAACATGACCATCCCCTGAGGCTGGTCGTATAGCTAACGTTATACTCGTAACTCGAATCTAAATTACGTACTTAGTTATATATTTATTACGGTCTATTATTGAATAATATTATATTGTTGTGTACAGAATTCAATAAAGCAAGTGGTTAATATGATAATTTATAAACTACGTGTAAAAAACCGAAAAACTGAGGCTTTATGACTTTTTTTTCTTGCATAAGCCGGTACCTAATCGAACAGACGGATCACCTGATGGTAAGCAATCGGCGTCGCCCATGGACACCTGGAAAACCAGAGGCGTTACAAGTGTGTAACCGGCCTTTTGGGGATTATAAATTTGAGGATCGTTGGGGATTCAGGGATTGGGGAGATTGGGGAAGACGAGTACCCTCCCATTGGGCCTCCGAAATATAATCTTCGAACCTGTAGGTACTAAAACCTTCCAAATATAACATGTATTGTTCTGAAAATCATACCATAATCGGTTCAGCCAATCGCAAGATAAACACGCACCAACATTCATAGATACAAGTCAAATGTAAAACCTCCTTCTTTCGGTTTGGTAAAATATTGAAAACTTAAAATGTCTTTTAAATTATTAATTAACTAGCGACCCGCCCCGGCTTCGCACGGGTGCGTTATGTATATACATACAAACCTTCCTTAAGAATCACTCTATCTATTAAAAAAAACCGCATCAAAATCCGTTGCGTAGTTTTAAAGATCTAAGCATACATACGGACATACAGCGAAAGCGACTTTGTTTTATACTATGTATTGATGTATTGATAAGTAGTACCTATCAGTTTTCTGTCGGCAGTCAAAGGCTTAAATACAACTTCATCAGTCGAATGACCGCTAATGTGATTGCCAAGTAAGATGTTGGGCTCGATACCCGGGTAAGGTAAAGTGTTCTTAGGGTCCTCTGATTTAAAAAATATGGCTATATGATTGCTTTGCTCTAGATTTATATTTCACTTGTCATATTAAAGGACCCACTCTTTATCGAAGAAATTAAACAGAGATTCCAACGTCATAACGGTTTATTATAAGACTAGTGTTCGATTCGACGTTCAAAATAAGAATACCTTACATTTCACTGCACTTTAAAAAGTTAACAAATCATGTCAGTGTTGCCATAACTTAATTTAAATTATAATCATTTCTATTTTAATATGCTCTTACATTTATGTGTTTAAATAATATTCGTAGTTACATAGTAATTATCTAAAGCACCCACATATTAGCTAATTAACCTTACAATATATCCTATGATTTATTTCGTTTTAAACAAACATATCCTATGTAAAATTAAAATGCCCATGACATCTAAGAACTGGGTTCTAAATTAGTTATAAAATAATTCTATTACAATTCGAATCAGCTAAAACTTTCATTTCATCTCTCTATCTGAAATTAAAACAATATTATTGTTGAAAGGCTGAAAGTTTCAGTAGAATAGGATTCAATATTCAATGGTCGAATTGAGTCTGTAACTTTTTAATTAACCTCTCAAGATCACTGAGAGGGTCAAGGAGTATGGAGTTATGGAGTACTACTTTATAGATATGGAAATCTTATATCTTCAAAGTCAAAGGATTTATTTCAATTGGGTAGGAATAAAAGCTCTGACAAGAAAAGAAGATTGTCTTTACTGCAAATATTAAATCTACTGCCTAAAATATTAAAATCTACTGCCTAAATACTAACTTTCCGACTACTTTATATGACTGTCTATTGCTACAATACTAACCTTTTTTTTTTTTTTTCGCCCGGGGAAAATGCCGTGCATACGGCCCCGCGAGGCCGGGTTATGTGGGGCTCGAACCCACTAAAAACCCCGGGGTGTGCCACTCACGCATGAGGGCGGGCCACAAGAACTGTTCTTTCGCACTTCGTTCGCGACGCTACAATACTAACCTAACCTGACCTAAAACGTCTGTTGTCGGTAACTTAGTAATTTTGTCGGAGGTTCAATATAGTTCAATATAACATCTATTCGGAAGTTTAGTTTTGTTATTCGAAGATCCATTTTTATAGTCGGCCACAGATCATTGGAGATTAATTTGTTTTTCGGAACCATTATTATTTTCCATTTCAATTAAACCATAATTTGGTACATAGGTAGTTTTGAAACGTCTACAAGTACAAAATAAATAATAGTCTGTCAGTCTGTCCGTCAGCGAAGCTAGGTAGGTTCCTATTCCAAAATGTAGATTCGAATGGAGAAGAACGAGTTAGAAACTCCATTCGTTACTCTTTTAATTATACAGCTGACGAGTATGTTAGTTTTGAGAGTAACCTATAGAGTTTCTTGCTTGTTTTTCTCCATAGGAATCTACACTTTAGACACGAGCAAATAGCTTCACTCGAGGACTGACCGACTGACTGACATTTTTTCTTTAATATTTAAATGTTTTGTTTTGACGTTCAAAAGTGTCTTCTTGGCCTAATTGAAATAAGTAAATAAATGATTTTGACCTTGACTTTGACTTTGAATGCGCTAATCTTCAGAACTACTAGTCCAACTTTAATGATTTTTTTGTTGAATTGTGCATTTATTGATGAAGTCCATATACTATAACATAGCATGCTACGATCAACTAGCGTAAAGCAAAGCGTGTGAGTAGCTAGTCAAAGATAACAATGTCGTTTCAATTCATAACGTCTGTGGCATATATCTCCCGAGCGTACGGCGCGTCGCATTCCGTGCGCACTTCAAAGAGCCATCAGACCACCACGGGTCGGCCCAATAGGGCTGATGCCGATACGGAGCCGCGAAAAACTTAACGAGTTACCGGGCTCCGGCTCGAAGTGCAGGAGAAGGAACGGGGTGGTTTTTAGTCAGTAAGAGTCTGACCCTCCCTTCCGCCTCACCCAGGCGGGAGAAGTTATTCGATAATTTTCCCCTCTTAAAAACCACAAAAGGCCTTGCTATAGTTTCCACTAAAGATGGGTACGTTTTCGGATAAATTATTAATTTCAAGTATTTATCCGAAAAGTCCTATTTCCAGTTTCCACGCTTGCCAGGAGGGTTGAAAATCGCTGTTTACAGGTTTCGGTTTATCAGTGAGCTTTCCAGCACCTTTTACATAAATACAAATAAAATACATTTCAACGAAGTGTGTACTCCTTATCTTCATACTCCACGGTGGAAACGAATGGCGTAGAAATCTTCATTAAAATCTAAGATGAATTCAGATCGGCTTACATTTTTGTTCGATAAAATAAATCACGTTTTTTTCATTTGCAGTTTTTTCAAGATTGAAACTTGGCGGTTTTTTTACCTATAGATTCATAATTGGAAAAACGTGGTAATGATAATTATTTTATTATGAGTGTTACTTGTCATAATAATTAACATTCATAAAGACCATTTAAACGATAATCTGACAGCATATTATTGTAATGAAAAATAACATAAAACAAATAAAATCAAATCAACAATAAAAAAAAAACACATCATCACACCTTTTATTCGTAAACCGAATTCGCCCAGATTTTATGATTCCATAATACTGAAGCACTAAGTATTCCACGGAATATAGAATACAAAAGTATTCAGTGCCTTTAGCAAACGCCACTTTAGCGCTTGTCTACCGAGAGAGTAGAAAACAAAATGTATGGGGATGACACTGACAAGTGTCAAAATTTACGTCAATTCCATATAATTTGGTTTTCTATTCTACCTCTACATGTAGACAAGCGCTAAATGGCATTTGGCTACAGCTGCTGGATAACGTAGGCCAAAATACAGATGGTAAAATAAAAAATTGTAGCAACAAGACTGGCACAAGGTGTACTTTTTCGTGGGTAACACATAAGTTATTGTAATTTAAAAACTATATGACTTGGAAATTTTTCTATATTTTTTTGATGACTGTTGGGATGCCGATTATCCCGTGCCATTTGATCGTAGACTTCAGGGACACTTGTATATGTAATATTTTCAATGTACACAATTTACCATAGATATACAAGGTGTTTTTATACAAGGTGTAGTAAATGTTTTGAAATTGTTGTGACATTTCTCGGGGACATGTCACAGAAGTCATAAAGGTTCAACGTAAGAGAAAATTTCTGGCCAATAGTTAAAAATACGGCTATAATAAATCGTTTACGTTCGACAGTATTTCAGAATAAGCGACAGAAATGATTCTTATTGGAGTTTTATGGAATTAGGAGTAATATTAATTACGTGTTTGAGTTTGTGTGTATTAAGCCGCGTTATAAAGCTAGTTACAAGACGGCGGCGTGTAGTTCACATTTACGGATTTCCGTAATTTACAGAAAAATGAAAAATATGTATCTACAATTTTTTTTATTGATTCGTAGTCAGAATCGATAGCCGAGTTACCTCCTAGAAAATGACGTGACTTTAAAATAACACCTTGTATAGTAATCTATGGAACTTATCCTTCTAAAGATTTTCCTATATGTAAATGGAAACTTTAAAAGTTTTGACGTGTAAAGTTAAAAGCAAATGAAACCGTAATTATGATAATGGTATATGTTTACGCAGTTAAGTATTAAATAATAAAACGTTATGGATAACACTATACTAATGAAAGCGCCCGTTTAAGATCGAATCAATGAAAAAAAAAATATTAGAAATTATAACTTTTGCAGAAATACCTAAATGACATTTAAAAGTGGAATCCATAAATGTAAAATAAATAAAAAAGTATGTTTAAAAAAAATCTTGCAATATTTTTTTTGTAATACTTCTCCAACTCCTTAAAAAGCACGTTCGAAATCGCAGGCAGAATGCTAGTAATTTATAAATCAGGTAAAGAATCGAACACCTATTTAAACTGCAAACTGCAAACCATCTAAGAAATTAATCACCATAATTATGTGTCACATAGCTTGGGGATGGCCACCGAATTCAGAAGACATGTCTCTCATCGCAGTCTTAAAACATATCAAAAGTTTTGTCATGTTTGGACATACACACATCACCTCACATCTGAACAGACAAACAAATGTGTATTTAAACAGTATCTACATGACATAGAATATTTTTAATTATATCCTACATTCAAACCTTTTAAGAACATACAACACGCATTAACGATCTACAGGTAATGATACATATATTGATTTTACTTCCCATTATAAATAACGAAGCTATGCCAAAGAATATCCATATGACAAGACTAGTTTCGTACTGAAAGGCGTGATTCACCCAACAGATTAATATCGAAATCATCAGAAATATCTTAAAAAATTCTTTATAAAAAAGAAAGTGCCATAAAGCCGAAGAAGATGAAGAAGAAGATGAAATACTATTATCTATACATCCTTATTATTTCCGGAGTCGTAAATGCAGATACAGATCTTATTTTACCAAAATATAATGAAAAGGGAACAGTAAATTTTAACTCGATTACTGATTGTATCATATCTATAACTGAAACAGAACTTTACTTCAGACCAACTGTAGCCATATTAGACCAAGGCGGTAATACTACAGAAAACATCTTCAACAATGAATTAATTGATAAACTTACAAAATACAATATACCTCAAGTTATCATACAAGATGGAATCAACGAGAATAATTATGATTTACATTTAATTTGCTTGACAATCGCATTCTTTGACTCATGTGCTGATATCAAAGACTTTGATTTCAAAAGTATTGATAAGGAAATGAGATTTCTTGTAATCATATCTGACGATTCAGGTAATAACTGTGTTGATACACTTGAAGAAATTGGAGATTCCGTAAGTAAATTTGCTATTACTTTTATTATACAAGATTTCGTAACAGGTGAAAATAACATATACACAATATTTCCTAAAATAGATGAGAATACGTGTAAAGAAATTGTTGAAAAACCTTCACATATAAACACGTGTTTCAATAATGGGACTGTTCAAAATGAGGATATATTTCCAATAAAAAATCCTAACAATCTAAACAGATGCCCGTTCAGAATTGGTATGGCAACTCTTTTTCCTTTCTCGGAAATACCTAACAAAGAATCGCTTAAAAATTATGATAATGTCACTGAAATCAAAGGCTTCGATTATGAAATATTGAAAGTCATTGCCGAGTACTTCAATGCTACATTAGAAACGCACTACATTTATAGGAAAGAGGAGAATCCGTACAAAGATCTGGAATTCACAGATTTCATTAAGAACGGGAGCTTAGATGCGTGTGCTGGCGGTCTATACAGAATATATGGAGATATGGTGGAATATTCTGGAATATATGTCCGCCAAGGTGTTTTTTGGGTCTACTATGCAGAGAGAGCAGAAAGATCTTGGCAGAACTTAGTAAGCAAATTGGATGATGTGTACTTCTTCATTATATTCTACATCACTTATTCAATTGTGTGGTGTTTAATATCCTCATTTGATGGTCAGGCTGTTTCACTTATCACTACATTGATACACGGATGGGGAGCACTTGTCGGTGCCACTTCGTTGCAGGAACCTAGAACAAGAAAACAGAAATTCCTCAATTTATTGTACTTGATCATGTCTGTGTACTCTTCTGTTTATGTCAGCATACAATTCTATTCATTCCTCACGGTCCGTGGTCCACCACAAATGTTTAAAACCAACACAGCTGTGATGGAATCAGGAAGAACAGCGTATTTGAAAAATTCATCGAAATACTTCATCACTGACGAGAGGTATACGAAGTACGCGGACCGTTCAGCAGATTGCGTGTCTTTTTATAATTGTGCTGAGAAAACTTTAATGTATAATGGCCTAACTCTTTTATTACAAGCTAACTTTTACATCTTCCAAGCTACTTCAGCTGTTAACGATGAAGCTCGAGTGCTGAGAGCGACGGAGAATATGCTGACAGTGTATAACGAAATGTTGATTAGAAAGGATAGTCCTTTAGTGGCTAAATTTCAGAAAGTCATGAAGCGTTTGTTTGAAGCTGGGATAACTGGGAGACTATTCACTGAAGCCATTGGTATATCGGTAGTGGCTAAAGCAGAGAGTGCTAACTCTAATATGATAACTAGTAGTTACAGTTGCCAAGCTGGTTGCTCGATCACCCTTATGCAATTTGCTGGAATATTCTATGCTTGGATTTTCGGCTGTGCAATCTCCTGCTTGGTTTTTGTTATTGAAATATTTTTGAGACGGGTTAAAGTTAAAGAACTGTAAATGTAACTCAGGCTAGTGTCTACGTTATCTGGTGATCAATTACTGTTTTTATCGACTTCAAAAAAAGAAGGAGGTACTATGTTCGCCTGTTTTTTTTTTAGTTTGTTCACCGATTAGTTACTCCGCCATTTAAGAACCGATTTCCAAAATTCTTGTTTTGTTTGAAAGGGTATACTCCCGAGATGGTCCCATTTCCATTAAGTCAGGATCTGATGTTGTAATCCTAGGAAAACCGGGGGTAATTTTCGAAAATTGTAGGGGGCGAGTAGTGCGTCTATAATGTTTTTCAATTAGTATTTTTAAAAAACACAACAATTTTATAAGAGTCTAGAGCCGACCTGATGATGGAGCCGACAGACAGTCGAGGGAACTCCTCAATGATTAATATTAACTATCTTATGTTTGGGCTTGATAAATTTGTATTGATGAGGACTAGTATACACCTAAATCGAGTGGCACTGTCATTTAAGGATCTGATGATGAAGAAGTGTAATTGTTAAAGGAACTCTTCAACGATTTATGGTAACTACCTTGTTTTTTAGTTTTGACCTTTTGATTGTTATTATACTAGATGTTGATGAAATGTTTGTGTATCTTATATACCTAAATAATTATATTGATCTATTGTGCACTTAGGTATATTTTGTATTACAATCTACTTTTATTATATTTCGAGGCTTGTAATATTATTATGTTTATGTATGTGTAGCGAAATAAATATTTCATTGTGTATAGTAATTCCATTTTATTATTGTGTAGTAAATAAAATTCGTTGATTGAAAAATCATGTTTGTGTTAGTACTAAGGAAATTTGACTTCTCTGAGCGTTTTGATTTGAAACGCCTCAACTATAGTTTTTAATTGTTAATTTCTGTTTAAATTGGTAAATGAAGTACATCAGAAATCACTGCATTCCATAGCTGTATGAAAGTTATCGCAAAAAGTTATTGAGACTATAAACTTAGAAATAGAAATCAACCATGCATTCAGTTTCCAATTGAGAACATACGCGTGACAACTGGTTAACAAAATGTACGCAATTATTGGAAATATTATATTGTTTTTCAGTGAGTATTAAATAAATACTTAATTTTTGTGATTTATCTATACATATAATTAATATACATATCAATACATAATATAAAACAAAGTCGCTTTCGCTGTATGTCCGTATGTATGCTTAGATCTTTAAAACTACGCAACGGATTTTGATGCGGTTTTTTTAATAGATAGAGTGATTCTTAAGGAAGGTTTGTATGTATATACATATTGCACCCGTGCGAAGCCGGGGCGGGTCGCTAGTAGGTAATAAAATCGTAGGAAAGTGAAAACTGTACATCGAAAATTTTTTTAAAAGAATGCTTGGCTTGATCTACAGTCGATATCGAAACCAAAAATATGTTTTTTAGATTTTTTGTCTCTTTGTTTGTATGTACTTATATCCGGGATGAACTTAAAAAGGGCTGCATGGATCTACTTCAAATTTTGCATAAATATTACTAACAGGTCGGGTCAACATATAGGCTATATAATATCATGCTATCAACTTCGGGGGAGGAGCTATGAATCACTATTCCACGCGGACGATGTCGCGGGTCTCAGCTAGTGTATTATACAGTGTGAGACGAAATATAAATAACTAAATCCTTTATTACTATTATAAATGTGAAAGTGAGCTAGTTTGTTTGTTTGTTTGTTTGTTTGTTCCGCTTTCACGCCGTAACTTCTAAACCGATTGCTTTGAAATTTTGCAGATGTAAAGTAAAAAGTCCGGATTAAATAATAGGGTACTTTTTATCCCGGAAAATTGATATTCTCAAAGGAAAACAAAAGTATTGGTATAGATGGCGCTGTGTGTATAATGGTATATGTCACATAGGCTACTTTTATCCTTTTGTGACGCGAACGACATACATATATACATACATAACTTCACACCTGTCTCCCATGGGGGTAGGCAGAGACTAAGAGTCGCGGATAAAAGCTAGTAAAATAATAAATATAATGTATTTATGTCTCTTTACAAAAAAGAAGGCCTTAAATAAAAATATGGAGGTAGAGGACCGTTGGTGCCTGAGGCCTGTATTACAGGTCACCAGGCCCCTACATAAATTTCAAATATTATTATGTAACCAGTGACGTTGTCCACGTTCCCGGGGGTAAAATGTACCGTATGTATTTACTCCAGAGCATAATCTACCTTTGTTTCGAATTTCATCAAGGTCCCTTCAGCCGTTTTTATGTGACTGAGTAACATACACATAGACACAAAAACTAAAAAAAAACCATTTAAAATATCGGTTCAAGCATTTTCGGCCATCAGTCTCGACAAACTTATATTTGCGTTTAATACAGTAAGTGTGTCTAGGGATCGAGCCGTACAATTAAGTTTGTTTTTTAGTGTATATACTTTTTCCGGATAAAAAGTACTCAGTGTGATGCCCAGAATATTAAAGTACACCTGGAACGGTACTTTTTGCGTGATTCGTGGACATAGGTACAGACAGACGAGCAAATAGCTTCACTAAAGGAAAGTTCTAACCCTACAGACTGTCATTTTTTCTTATTATTTACGTAACATAACTAGCTTCTGCCCGCGACTTCGTACGCGTAATCCTATTTTTTCCCGTGCCCGTCCGTGATTTTCGGTAAAAAGTAAAAAAAAAATTTTGGTCAAAAAGTATCCTATGTCGGTCTCCTGGCCCTAAGCTACCAATTTTCAGCCAAATCTATTCTGCCGTTGTTGAGTTATAAGTGGTGTAACTAACACGACTTTCTTTTATACATATAGATAACATAACATCACGCCTGTCTTCCCCGAAGGGGTAGGCAGAGGTGCACATTACGGCACCTAATGCCACTGTACAATGTAACATCCACTTTTCACGGTTTATGTTATGAGTCAGCCATATACCGGGCACTATTCCAGACTCCGTGCTACTACTGGGATTTTTAAAAAACCCAGTAATACTTTGCCCGACCCGGGGAATCGAACCCGAGATTGCCCGGCAGTCGCATTTGCGACCACTCGGCCAATGAGGCAGTCTTATTATTTGAAGTCTCTTACTGGTGAAATAAATAATTTTGACTTTGACTTTGACGAACAAAATTTTTTTATCAGTAGTTTGGGTTCGTTATCTGTCTAGTAACACCCTCCACTATTTTCTTTTAATATTTTCAATGTACAAAATTTTACACTTGTACAGTTTAATGATAAGTATAGATAAAAACTGCCTCGTTGGCCGAGTGGTCGTAAGTGCGACTGCCGGGCAAAGTATTACTGGATTGTTTCAAAAATTCTCAGTAATAGCACGGAGTCTGGAATTGTGCCCGGTATATGGCAATAGGCTCACCCCCTATTACATGGGACTCATAACATAAATAGTGAAAAGTGGGTGTTACATAGTACAGTGGTATAATGTGCACCTCTGCCTACCTTAGTTAGGGGATAAAAGGCGTGATGTTATATTATGTTATAGATAAGAATAGGTAAAAATGTAATAATTCATTCTTCACAGTTTATTTCTACATGAACTCTACAAACGCTTTAGGGGTATTCGATGTGGTCACATACAAGTCTGCTACACTACCATCTAAAAGTGAAAACAGATTACTCAATATTTTAGTGCCGGTGGAATCTTTACTGATGAGATCAGGTAACAAGACTAGCACTACTAGCACGAAGAAAGTGAAACGAGAAATACCAAAGGATGATTTTACATTAACGAATCATTACACAAAGGACAAGAATCCATCCTTTGTACTCATGTTTAAAAGCCGACAGTTTATATTGAACGGTGACGATTCCAAAAGAACTGAAGAAAATATTAATTAATACATCGTAATATGACATAAAGTTTTTTATTAAACCTAAAGACCGAAAGGGTAAATAAAACAACAACATACGTCATACCTACATAACATCACGCATTTTAGCCCCAAAGGGGTAGGCAGAGGTGCACATTACGGCACTTATGCCACTGTACAATGTAGCACCCACCTTTCACTATTTATGTTATATGTCCCATGTAATAGGGGGTATGCCTATTGCCATATACCGGACATAATTCCAGACTCCGTGCTATGTTTGAGATTTTTTTAAAAAGCCCAGTAATACGCTCGACCCTGGAATCGAACCCGAGATCCCTTGCCCGGCAGTCGCATTTGCGACCACTCGGCCAAAGAGGCAGTTTAAGGGCAAATAATATTGCTATTAAATATAATTTTGTCAATTTTCTTTTATACTTGTTATATGGTGGTACGTGGTATATGTCGTGGTGGCATTGTTCTCATGCATGAGGGTGAGGCCTATAACAATAGGGTAGATGCTTAATTTTTATTTTAATGTCCGTCTGGTAGATTATTTTAAACCATTAGACACGTATTTTTTATTTTCTTACAGAAACGATTACTTTTGACGAAATATTGATTTGAAATGTCGCGTGACGTCACTTCTATGTACATACATTTTACACGTAGAAATGACGTTTTAGCCCCCACTCCTAAACTTTGAGTCGTTTTATCTAAGTATTGTTTTATTATACGACAAAATAAAAAAATACGTGTCTAATATTTTTTCTTTACCTACCTAACTTACGGACTAATTATATTTTTAATTTTCATACCTTGTCATCATCCCAATTGGAAATGCATTGCAGTAAGTTCATGAATACCAAATCAAGACCCAAAAAGTCGTGGTGGCTCGGAGGTTTAAGACGCCCGCTGTCATGCATGAAGATACGGGTTCAAAACCTACCAATAGCATGTACCAATGTGACTTTTTCCGAGTTATATGTACTTTCTAAGATTGTTTAGACATCACTGACAAACGGTGAAGAAATACATCGTGAGGAAACCTAAACTTATAATTTCTAATTATTAGTTTGAAATCGCCAACCCGCATTGAGCAAGCGTAGTGATTAATGCTCTAACCTTCTCCGTGTGAGAAGAGGCCTTTGGTCAGCAGTGGACACTTATAAACTGTTGATGTGTGTGTTGTACCTGTCTTCCATGGAAGTCGGCAGAGGCTATGGAACGCCAATTACTACGATTCCTATATATCTCTTTCGCTTTATTAACAATCATCATGCATGCTCGTCGGTTAAGGGTACTTTTAATTTGGCCCTTCTTTAATAAGTATATCGCCAATCTGGTCAATATATGTCCGTCTTTTTTTTAAGAGGGGAAAATCATCGAAATATTTACTTGTCCCGCCTGGGTAAGGTGGGAGGGAGAGTTCTGACTCTCCCTCCCACCTTCTGACTGTTACTGACTAAAAACCACCCCATTCCTTCACCTGCACTTCGAGCCGGAGACCCGGTAACCCGTTAGGTTCTCCGCGAAAGTATATGTCCGACTAGGGGTTCTCTACCTTAAATTTAACTGTGAAATAATTTCTTCTTTTTATCTTTCAAATATTCATAATAGATAACTATCGTGAAGTAACAAGTTACCCACGTTAATAATGTTATTATAGTGAATACAGTGCCTTATTGTTGCCCACAACAGATTGCCGCGAAGCAGGAAGACAACAAAATATATATATATACCTCTATACATATATATAGTGAACCGGTAATAAAATTAAATGATATTTATTTCTGTATTATTATGATATTTACTTTTATGAGACAAATTGGATACAAACTAACACTTTTACACGTCAATCTTTAAATTACCTACTAGATTAGAAACTAGCATTTTTTAACTACCTACTCTGAGATCTGAGTAAAACTAGAAGAGCTATTCTCAATGCATTTACAAATCAAATCAAGTCATTTGTTTCGGTTGCGAACATGGGTTAGGAAAATATACCTACAATAGGTGTTTAATATTTATAGTAAGGTTCTCCACATTTTGCCGTTATGGCTTGCAAATATTATTTACATATAAGTATTTCCTAATCAATTTATCTACAAGTTTGACTAACACAACCACATAAAATCCTTACTATAATATTATAAATCGGAAAGTGAGTTAGTTAGTTTGTTTGTTTGTTCCGCTTTCAAGCCGTAACTACAAAACCGATTGATTTGATTTTTTGCAGTCGTAAAGTTCGAAGTCCGGATTAAAAAATAGGGTAATTTTTATCCCAGTAAAATTTGATATTCCCGAGGGAAAACAAAAGTATTGGTATAGATGGCGCTGTGTGTATTGGTATATAACACATAGGCTACTTTTTATCCTTTTGTGACGCGAGCGAAGCCTTCTAACTTTATGTATGCAAAAATTCAAAGCAATCGGTTTAGTAGTTACGGCGTGAAAGCGGAACAAACAAACAAACAAACAAACTCACTTTCACAAATATTAGTAAGGATTTACAACGAAGTTTTTAAACACTCAAATCCCAAATAATATATACTTCTAGACCTTCCATCTGGATAGACGTAACGTAATATTTTTATTACCTAAGCTTATCTCCTAGATTCACTTAGCACGAAAAACATCTTACGTGAACATTTTTCTAGATTAAATTCCTCTAGTCTAGATCCTAGGTCGAGTTTTAATAAACTAGTACTTGCGTAATACCTACTAAGCTGATAACTTTTGACTTTGAGTGACTATTGAAAAATATGTTAAAGGGAAAATGTAGTTTTAATTAGTTTGAGATTTTTATATAAATCACGCCTTGGTAGAGTAAATAACATAACATTACGCCTTTTATCCCCGAAGGGGTAAGCAGAGGTGTACAATGTAAGCCACTTTTCACTATTTATGTTATCCCAGTCCCATGTAATAGGGAGTGAGCCTATTGCCATATACCGGGCACAATTCCAGACTCCGTGCTACTAATGGGAATTTTTTGAAAAACCCAGTAATACTTTGCCCGACCCGGGAATCGAACCCGAGACCCCTTGCCCGGCGGTCGCACTTGCGACCACTCGGACAATGAGGCAGATAATGAGGTGGAGTAAATCTATCTATAAAAATGAATCTTCGTTCGTTAGTCTCGCTAAAACCCGAGAACAGCTGAACTGATTTGACAAATTTTGGTCTTGGTAGGTTCGTGGAAGTCCAGGGAAGGTTTAATTGTCGCGGAGAACCTAACGGGTAACCGGGGCTCCGGCTCGACGTGTAGGAGACGGAACGGGGTTTTTAGTCAGTAAGAGTCTGACACTCCCTCCCGCCTCACCTAGGCTGGGAGCAGTCATTCGATGATTTTCCCCCCTTAAAAAAGGGATGGTTTAATAGGCGAGTAAAAATTATTAGGCGGAGTTTGCCGGGTCAGTTAGTATATAATATATATGGAAAGAAAGAAAAAACTTTATGTCACACGCAACTGACACTGTGGACCTAAATACCTACTATGTATATATGTATGTATGTACCCATTTGTCTATTATTAATTGGGTACTTTCCTTAATAAAAATAAAATATTTCGACTGTTCAATACAATTAAATATTAATAATCACACTTTCATTAATTGATTTTATGAGCAACTTAATTATAGTATTTTTCTAGCAATTTTTAAATATAACTATGCTGTTTGACGCTAAAAAAACGTGACGTCACAATACACAATCTCGTACAAAATTCATAGAAAACTGTCATTATTGACAGGTGGAAAAAAGTATTGAATTTGACTATTTGGCATTGTAACATAACGTTTTTTAATATTCGGAGAGGTAGACAGAGGTGACCACAAACTTGTATCGCATATATTTACCCTGGTTGTGTTATGAGTCCTATGTAGTACACGGGGAACCGAGCCACATAATTATTACGCATGATTCCAAACCTGAAAGTTCTAAGACTATTTTGCTCGGGCCCGGAATCGAACTTGAAACCTAGAGTAGGTCACTTGACAGTTGTAGCTGCTATTTGGTATTGGAAATGGGTCGGACACGATCTCGCCTGATAGTAAGCGATGATTCAGCCAATGACGGAGTACGTACTTACGTACACCCATAAGCATCCTATTCACTCGGGCCTCGAAGATACTTGGTTTTAAACCTACGGGAAACGCACCTCTTTATTGTTTACTAGCTTTTACCTGCGGCTTCGCTCGCGTCACAAAAGGATAAAAAGTAGCCTATGTGACATATACCAATACACACAGCGCCATCTATACCAATACTTTTGTTGTCCCTCGGAAATATCAATTTTTTCCGGGATAAAAACTACCCTATTATTTAATCTGGACTTCTAACTTTACGTCTGCAAAAAATCAAAGCAATCGGTTTCGTAGTTACGGCGTGAAAGCAGAACAAAAAAACAAACAAACTCACTTTCCGATTTATAATATTAGTAAGGATTTTCTAAATAAGTGTTGCCACACACAAGGAATATATCCTACGTCGTGGGTGCGTTTATTTATAAATCTATGGTTTACAAACATACAATTTAACAAACATAATATAAATTTTATAATTGTATCCCTATTTATAATCACTAAGCTAAAATTTTGAAGCGACATGCAGTTGTGAGGTCAATCACCTATGACCCAAATCCGTAGGCCGGACTGTCCAGCGGGTGATTTTAATTAAAGCTATTGTTTATATCCTGCAACTGTTGACTTAAATGGCTTGCTTGATTGGAAAACTGCTAACATGCCAACTATATGAAACTTGGAGGAGAAATAAAGGGGTAAGCAGAGCACGTAGATTAATGACAACTTATTAAATGAAAATTAATATTTCTTTTCTACTGCCTCGTTGGCCGAGTGGTCGCGATTGCCGGGGTTTCGGGTTCGATTTCCGAATCACGCAAAATACTATTGAGTTTTAAAAAAAAATCTCAGTAGTAGCACAGAGTCTGGAATTGTGCTTAGTATGTAGCAATAGGCTCACCCCCTAGAGCTCACACCCTCTTACATGAGACTCATAACATAAATAGTGAAAAGTGGGTGTTA